ATAATTTTGAGAACAAATAGGAAATTTAAATAATGTAGAAACTTCAATATTATATAAATCATATCAAGTCATACTGAGATAATGAAATGCGTACGTAATATTTAATAAAGAAGAATAGTGTCTATAAAAAGAAACCAATTTAGTTGGAAACCTGATAAGAAACTTTGGCATAGCCACATACAACATGATGAAAGCATATATAGTTGTTGCAAGAGAAACAAGATGGACCTTGCAAATTGGGTGTTCAGAGCTCTCACATGCTGCCGAGATGCTGCAGCCCGCTGTGCGTCCAAAGGAGGTGTATCTGTTGACTTCTCTTGAGAAGGCTCTGCCCTATTGGAGTCAAACGAGGATCCCGCCATAATCCTTTTGTTCCGGAACTGCATATGGTGAAAGAGAAAATATAAAAAAATCAACACAGCAACTGACATTCCAAAATCTCTAGCCCCCACACTCCACACCCCACCAATATAAGAAACAGTATTCCCTTGAAAAACTTAAATGTAGAAATTTAAAACCACCAATAACCCCTTTGATGTCTTGCATAAGACCCATAATTAGAGGCGTTCCATACTTTACATCATTAAAAACTTCTGAAACATTAAAACCAAAACCGTTCCATACTTTTCATTATTAAAATCTTCTGTTTCATTCTGAAACCAAACCGAAGCTCAATAATCAGGATGGATGCGGCATCCATATTTGGGAACCAACTAATACCGTGCCGAACCGATGGAAATTAAATATAATATATATATATATATATATATATATATATATATTAAATCGATGTGTCCCGTCCCCTTTTAATTGGTTGTTCGGCAAGTTCATTCCTTCGAACCCCATGTAGAAGCTGCTAACCTACTGCCAAGCTCTCCCAAATAATCCCAAAAACCAGATGATTGCTACCGATGTACTTTATAATGGACATCAATGCAAGTTCATTCCTTCAATCCCCATGCAGAAGCTGCTAACCTACAGCCCCTCCCAAATAATCCCAAAAATGACTTCATCCAGATGATTGCTACCGATGTACTTTAAAATGGACATCATTCCAAACCCTTGCAACTAGATATGCTTGCAATTTAGTTCAATTAGCTAAGACAATGAACTTGGGAGCAGCCTCTCCATAAATGGGGGTAAGGCTAGCCGACATTCACCTCTCCCAGACCCTGCGTAAAGTGGGAGCCTTGTGCACTGGGTACGACCTTTTTTAGCTAAGACAATGAACTTAAATGGACTAACAATTGCCTCTTGGTGGCTGCCTGCAACAACCTTCTGGATTTGTGCACCGAGTTTGGACGGTGTCATTTGCTCAACTCCTCTACACTTTTCATGCCATGCTTCTTAAATTTGAGAATTATTTAATATGGTACCGAAGTGATACCAGATCATGCAGAAACTAATTGGTTCGGTATGGTCCGGTACCATTTCCTCAAAACCCCCATACCGAACCATCCCATACCAGTGGACATTTCTAGTATCACCTACATACCGAACCGTCTCATACCGTGCCCACCTCTACCCATAATCACCCATAATGTTTGCCTTGTAATATTTGACAGCCATTGAGCCTACATTGAGAGGCAACTGAGGTCCGAGGATACCAAATGTCCATCGAACAAATGCTTGCCTAGGAAGTGGATTTTCCTTCCATTTTTTTTAGTGAATATTAAGATTTCAATCAAAGCCCACGATTCAGTACAGAAATGCAACAATGAGTATCTAAATACCAACCGACAACGAACCAACAAACCAGACGCCAAAAGAAATAAATTAACAACAGAAAGCCTAATTTATCCGCTTCCGATAAATACAGACATACACCTTCACTATCGAAAGGGAACTTTAATATTACTCCAAGTCAAAGCTAATAAGCCTAACATCTTCCTTGACATCAATAAAACCTGCTCCTTCTTACTTCTACCATAACTTCGCCATCTACCCTTCTCCTTAAGAAGAGAACGGCCGCCTAATTTCCTTTTTAAAGTCTGCATATCTTCCACACCCTTTGCTCAGTTTTACGTTATTATTCCTACTTTATTACTTCGCCTACCCCCAAAATCCTTGGTCAGCCCACAAATTGACAAAAGTTGATTTTTTTTTTTTAACAAATAATCCCACAATTCCAATCTGTAAAACTAATAAAAACCCAATAACCCTTTTAGATTATGTACTCCTTCATAATATAATGCAAAGTTGCAACCTCTATAGCTAATTCCCCCCTAATCAGCTTAAAATTCAAAACCTTTGGGATTTATTCACACAAAACAATTAAAAAAAATCCGCAGGGCCTCCAATACACTTCAATCCCAAAAACAAAAGCTAGAAATTAGGGTTCCCCCTCCCCCCAAAAAAAATCAATAAAAATTGCATAAAAACAACAAAAAGGTGAAATTTTTAAAAGGGAAAGTGGTACTTACAGGCGAGTCAGAGTTGGAGTCCGATACAGAAAAACGTTTCGGACCTTTCGTCATCATGATTCGGGCTTTCCGGGTTCAAAAGCAGAATAGGGTTCTTCAAAATTTCTCTGCTTTTTCCTTCAGACTGGCAACAGTGCAAGCAAAACGAGGAAAAAATGAAGAGTCCTTTTTTTACAATTAAACAAAAAATAAAATAAAGGGAAAGGTGATTAGAGCCTTTGGATCAGGTGGGGAACCAACTTTTAATTTGGACCGTTGCATTGGTTTCCCACTACAGTATTATTTCACGTGGGTTTTTGTATTAATTGGAATTTGAGAGACCACTTGGCTACCGTCCATTTTGTAGTTTTTTTCTTTAGTTAAATTACAGATTGCCTCTTCAGTTTGAGTACAATTACAATCTCCTACAATATTTTTAAAATATTTTAATTTTATACATAAAGTCATGTTTAGTTGCAGCATCAGATGTTCATTAATCAATCTGTTAAATTGATTGCTAAGCGATAGCATGACAAATGTAGGCTCCACATATTTGCTAACTTGGATTACAGACCAATTTAGGAGTGTCAATTTATTTCAAGAACACTAATGAATCTTTTTCTCGGAATATGATTCTATCTAGATCCTCTTTGTGAGGATCTTGGGTATCAGTTCATCATATTCGTTTATCAGTCATTATGCGACCAGAAATCATATATTTCAACGTTGATTTGCTTGAGCAATTTCCCAGATGAGAAAAAGGATTGAACATCAGGGTGACATCATGACCACAATATGCCAGAAGCGTTGGAAGAAAGGTGTCATACCGTCCGGTCTAGGAGTCGTGGTAGGTTTCATTTGGAAAACAGCTGCTTTGATTTCCTCCGCATAAAATGACCTGTCTAATTCCTTATTCATCGGAGTCGTCACTCTATTCTCCAAAGGGCGATGCAGGAGGTCAAAGAGCAAAACAGCTCGCTAAAATAGTTAGGCCAAATCGGATAAATGATTCATGTGGTTATAAAGTATTCGGAAGATAATCTATGTGCTAAAAAAATTTGGATTTAAACCCTTGTGGTGTACTTCGTTAACAAATTTAGTCCAAAAATGATTTTTCCATTAACTATCTGTTAATACATGAGTAAAATTGTACTTTGATATTTGCAACAAAAACATCAATACGCCACCGCCGTAAATAACAGATTAGGAAAAGGTATCTATCATTACCCAATGGAACTGACAAAATAACACATCAGAAGCCCCAAAAAATTCAAATATTGAATTATAAATCTTTTACTTGTTCAATTCTACCGGATCACAACATACAAATACTCCATAAAATCAAGAAATTCTACAACAAGCTGAAAATCTCATAACTTTCAACCAAAAAACAAATCAAACAGAGATATGATTGAGTGGCGAGAGTGACAGGTTGGGAACTTAAAAAGGAATCTCAGAAAAAGTAAAGAGACGTACAAATCGGTACGTAATGAGCGGAGCAAGGTGACGATGGCCATGGCTGACTTAGAGCAAAGTGAGAGAGAGAGAGAGAGAGAGAGAGAGAGAGAGAGAGAGACTAGGAGGAAGTCAAGAAAAGACGATAGGGGGTTTAAATCCGAGTTTGACTTCCCCCCTCCAAACTCTTTGGCTTCCTGTTCGAGTTCGGCTTCCTGCTCCTCGGCGACGAGGGCCCAGGCGCCAGGTTTGGCCCATGGAGACATGGTGGCTCTGTGAAAAACTTAAAATGGTCTCTCCTTTTTCCCTTGCGCAAAGTGAGTTTGGTGGTTGCATAGGGGAGATGCAGGAAGAAGGAGGTGCACACCTCAAAGTACAATTTTACCCGTGTATTAATAGATAGTTAACGGAAAAATCACTTTTTGACTAAATTTGCTAACGGAGTACACAAAGGGGTTTAAATCCGAGTTTTTTTTAGCACAAAGACTATCTTCCGAATACCTTATGACTACAAGGATCATTAATTTATCCGGTTTGGCCAAATAGTTAAGCATTGTATCCTCTATTTTCTTATCATCCTCAACCTAGTCATCGTTAGCATTGGTGATCCCCTTTGCAACGAACAATGCTTGGAATTGTTTCATAAAAATATTTCGGGGTTGATTCACAAAGCTTCATACTTAAAATTAAAATCATTCATATTATAAATTATTCACTAAAGATCATTCTTATAAAAAATCAATTAATAAAGATCATTTAGTTAATTAATTGTAGCAAATAGATAGACAATTTGTAATAATTTTACCTATTTCGACCCTTTGTATTTATGCAATTGGATAACTAAACGTTATCATCTTTTCTTAATTTTTTTACAGTTATAATCTATACATAGTTATTATAATATAACTCTGGTCATAAGTACAAAGTTCTGTAAATCGGATCATAATGTTTTTCAGAGGTATTCCTTCACAATTATGTGGAGCCAAACATTGTTAACTATAAACAACTCCAGCTTAATTTGTTTGTAATACATTTTGGCATAATCGAATGCATGAATTTCATAACTATAACTAAACACATTGAATTAAATTATGGTTTATCACATGTCTGCTATTTCAGATGAAAACAACAACAACAATAACAACAACAACAAAGCCTTGTCCCACTAAGTAAGGTCGGCTATATGAATCTTATAACTTTTGTTAGATCCAAGTAGTCCAAGTCTTTTAGATGAAAACATGATTGCTTTAAATTGGATTCTTGTTAAATTTAAAATAAGGATGGTACGTTTTTACCACTATTTCTTTGATCAACATGATCTTTTGGAAGAAACTAACTCCTAGCCATTCCCCTTCACATTAATGCTCATAATTTTTCCCACCAGGGAGCTAAACTAGCTAACATTTGCCTTGTCACCTTCTCTCCTTTCCTTTCTTTAATCCTTGGGGTGTATGGAGAACTAAATTCAAAAAATCAAGTAGAAAGAAAACTGCAGCCCTCAATACTTCAGACCAAGGGCCTTTCCTCTTCTGTTTCATTTGCTGTTCTACTCTTCCCTAGTTTGAAAGAGTTTGCATGTTTGGCAGCAGTATGTGAGATCACACTCCAACCCAGGACTTTGTTTTCGGGCAGCATTTTCATTATGATTCCCATGGCTATCAGCAGCAGCCCTGTCCCGTGTTGATCCGTCAAGGGCTTTGTAAATATCATGTATGAAAGCAACAATGTGACTGCCTTTCTCGCCGTTGTAATCTGCATTACCAGAACAAAATGTAAGTTTACCGGTTAAATGCGTGCATCAATTTCATAATGTAGTTTATTAAGAAGATTAAGAAGCAAAAATTACCATGGCAGTAGTGGCAGCTCCGAAAAGGGCAATGAGGGACAGCACAGATACTTGGCCAACATTTGTGGCTAGGGCTTCAAACACTAAAACCCCGTACACATAAGGATGCTGCAAAATCATTGACAGAAGAATATTTAACGTAAGAAACAGTTTAGTATAACAACTTAAAACACTCTGGGAAGTTCATGGACCATATAATTGTGACTGATTCATAATCTCTTAACTTTTTCCATCTTAAGATCATCAAGTCCTAATTGTCCATTCATCTACGTACACCAATTGATTCATAAATCGTGACTATCCATCCAAGCGCAACCGGCTCTGATAGCACTTGTTAGGGCTGAAGTCAATAAAATGTGAAAATTTTATCTCAGAAAAACCTCAGTATGCAGATGAGATATAACATTTGATACTTATTCCCCATTTGGTGTATATATACACAAATATACATGTATCTATGGTCAATGCTGGAGAATTTCATGCATATATGTTCAATGATGAATTCAAAATTAGACAGGCATGGTGGAGGCGTTATTCATGACTCGACTCCAATACAACTCTTCGTGAAATATAAAAACTAAGCAAAGATTAGACATTACTAACTACTAATTACTTACCTCAGAACAAGAATTCCACGCCCTAACCAATTCTCCTGTAAGAATCATGGGTGGAAGCAAAAATGGCAACCCAACTACTGTTGAGCAGAACAACATCTCTGTCTGTAAGAAGTAAAAAGTAACACAAAATTACAGAGACACAGATGTAACTTTTTCTTTTAATCCCAAACTCTACGGCATTTGAATTGAAGAACCGATAAACAATCTACAGGAGCTGAATATTTACCTGTGAAGTATCAGGATTCAAGGTAAAAATTGATTCTTGCAAGTTACCCAAAAATGCATCCATGATTAGAGCACCAGATATCATAATTACACCAACCATGCTAAAATTGGGAGATGTTTTTGCATTTGCTAAGGTGAAAAGGATCAAACCAATCACTAGAAGCGTTGCCAAGATGTATTCCTGAATTGGATATTTCCTTCTCAATCCCGGGACAAATGCACCCATCAACATCACCGGCAATAACTGAGTTTTCGACAAATGTTTTCATAACAATCAGCTGGAACTGAAAAGGTTCACAAAGACCAAAAGCAGATTATGTAAATTTAATGACAGTTTTACCCTTGTGGATTTGAACATTATCTGTGCAGGGTAATTAAGCCAAGCCAAGGATCCCTTGGTCAATCCTTGAGAACCCATAAGAACGGCGGAAAGCTTCACATATGTCTTCCATGGATTCACCATGTTCTTGGTGGTGAAGCCTTGAAGGTACATTAGTGCAATATATACAAACCCTTGTACAAAGGTGAAGTACCATCCATAGCTGCAAAATTACAAAAGATAGTAATTAAGGGCGGGTTCGGAAATGCTTATCTAATAAGCAATTTTGCTCATAAACGCTTTTGCATGATTTTAACTTTTCTACCAAACCAGATTGTGGTTAACTAACCTGAATCGGAGACGATTATACACGTATTCCTGCGATCAACAAAACAGTTACACAAGAAACATAAGGGCTGCTTTTAAATTTGGAAAAACAAACAACTATATCAACTTTTTTCACCAAATATTCATACCAATCAATCAAATAGTAACAAAATAAAGCATGCAAAGAAAAAAATACAAAACAGGTAATTGTAAATGATTTATGCACGTCTTTTTCTTTTCCTCTATGCATTGTTTATTTCTAACATTTGACATTTGAATTAAATAATCAACCAAAAATACTAAAATACACGGATGTATAGAAGGAGAAAAAAGTTGTGCGGAATTAATTTCCTTAATTATATCGTAGAACTAAACAAAAACTATGAACAAAAATGATCAAAAAATAAATACAAAACAAACTTCGCAGATGCCGTTGACAAGGTAACCAAAGAAGAAGCCAGAAGAGCAAATGATGAACTGCCGCCAACTCGGCCTATCAGACAGTGAGATCCCAAACAAGAACCTCGCTTGCTCCTCGTTCTTCATCTTCCCCACAACCCAATCAAAACCCCAAAACCCCAACCTCTGATTAATCACAAAGCTCAAGTTTTTTTTAGATGATGTTAGGAGAGTGACAGAGAGAGGGGAGAGAGTATGAGTTTTCAACTCTCCTCTCTCTCACAGCTGCCTCTTCGAAAGGGAAGGTGGCAACTGGTAGGCCTGGCATTTTGGACCCAACCCGTTAACCCGATCCGACCCAACCCGTTAATACTTGTATTTGGGTGGATGCTTAACGGGTCGGGTCGCTAACGGATGAACCCGTTAACAACCCGTTAAATAACGGGTCACTTTGGGTTAACCCGTTAGGTTAACACCCGTTAGCACCCGTTAGTTGAGGATATTTTAGTAATTTTAGTAAAGTCTTAATAACAAAAAATAAATTTTATGCAAAAAAAATAATAATAATAATTGTTAACAGGTGTTAACGGGTGAAACGGGTGACCCGTTAGCTTAACGGGTCGGGTTCAGGTGACCCGTTAGCTTAACGGGTTGGGTTCGGATGACCCGTTAACTTAACGGATCGGGTTGAACCCGACCCAAACCCAATAAACCCGACCCGTTTACAGGTCTAGCAACTGGCAATAGGGCTTGCGAGGAATTTGAAAAGTGGAAGGTTTGAAGGATTTTCCACACCAAGAATCACGGTAGAAGTTGGAGAATTTAAAGAGATTTAGTATGTGAGCAATTTGATTTGTCAAAAGGGAGAGATTTGATGGAGTTGGGTTGGTTTGGTTTTTGGTTACTAGTCTCTTATTAGAATTTGATTGAAAGCTACTAGTTTGTTATTAGTATTTGACAAGTGTAACCGACAGTTACCATGACAAAAGAGTAAATACTAAATGGGGCTGCATTTTTCATGCCACTTTCCCTAAACAAATTAGGTGAAACCAACTGTATTATCATGTGACCACTTAAAAGAATCTGAAAAATAGGAATGAGAGGCCACATGAAATTTGTGTGCCAAATACAGTATTGATGGTCACATACATGAGAAAAGGTAGATTGAGATTGACACTTAATGCAAAACTTTTTTCATATTTAGGTTTTCGTAGTTGTTGCAAACCATTTTTAAAGAATTTCGCCGGTACGATGAGAGTATTACTAATTATGAAGAGAAAGATAAATGCAGGGATCATGCGAGACTAATACTCAATTATATAGATCCTCACAAATTAATTTAACATAAAAAAACGATGAAAAAAAAAATCAACATAGGTCATACAGATCCTCACACATACCATAACACAATTCAACTAGGACCATGTAGTTAACAAAAAATAGAATACATAGTTATAGGTTACTAGTTAGTTGGTTAAAGTAGTGTATTCGTCCCACTCCATTTAAGTTCAAGTCTCCACTAAAAGCATTGGCAGATCTACATAGGGATTTGGGTGGTCCCTAGACCCTCTAGAGGTTGGGAAAAACAACTATGAAGGTCCTATGCAAAACCTTCGAAAATCTAGCAAGAGACCTTTTAAGTCCACCAAGTGTTTGATGAAATGTCATATGAACATATCTTAGCAACATTAGGCAAGAGGCTTCGTCAATGCTCAGAAAGGGCTCTTGACATAACTTGGGGGATTGCTTTGATAGATGTTGACACATATCGACATTAACACATCATGGTTTGGCATAAGATGATCGACCCTCAAGGAGTTCAATAAAAAAATTGAAGAAAAAAAATTGCGTTCATCTAAATAAAACTAGGGTTGTTAGAATTCTGAATCTGCCATGCAAGGATTTGTAACTCAGTTGGTTAAAAACATCTACCTCTACATGCAAGGTCTCAAGTTCAATTTCCCCAATAAATATCATACAACAACAACAACAACCACGACAACCAAGCCTTATCCACTAAGTGGGGACAGCTGTATGAATTTTCAAATTTTCAAGCAATTTTCATTAATTTTCCTTATATTTTTTTGTCAAAAAAAAAAAAATCAAATATCTAATAGTTAAAAAGTCCGAAGAATCATATGTTTTTCACAGCACCATCAAATTTTTATTGGCATGCCACACGAGTTTGTAGCATAATAAAACTTAAACAAAACTGGTTTCTCTAGTTTCCTCTTGGAGCTGGAAGTTACATTATATATGTAAGCCATTTCAAGCCAATGACTTGCCTTTCGATCCAACATCGTTTAACTAGCTAGATGACTAAATAATCAAGTAATAATTCTTTAAGCAAAGAGTTCCAAACCTCAGCCTCCAACTGCACACCCACCTCCTGTTTTTCACAATCCAACCCTCTCTAGCTCCCCCACTCCTTTTGCATATCTTTCACATAAACTTTTCTCCCATCTTTCACCTCCCATCCCAACAACAACTCCTGTGGCTGCCCATTTATCCAATCCTCCACCTCCTTCATCACCTTTCGCATCATTGCACTTTTGTCACTGTATTTCCCAACAATTGTCTCCCGGCACAAATCCATCACTAACTTTTCTGCCTTTATACTCATCAGTTTATTTGATGTCACTAGTAGAAAAAACAGCTTGCGTGACGACATTTTGCGCGACAAACAATAATTCGTCACACAAGTGCGTAAGAGGCACTTGCGCGACTTAAAAACGTATTTGTCGCACAAAATAGAAAAAACATATTGTAAAAAAAAAAAATTGCGCAACGAAAGAAATCGTCGCGCAAGAATACTTAGCGTGATGAATAATTGTTGTCATTACGTAAAGTCAGCAAGAAAACGCGGGGTCAACTTTGACCATTTAATGCAGGTGAATCAAAGGACATTTAATCCAGATGTTTGCGCAACAAAGCTTTCGTCGCACAAAGATCTTAACTTTGCTATAAATAGGCGCTTCTATTGTCCTTATTCTTCACAATTCTGTTATCCTTATTCTTCATAATTTTGTTCGTGTTGAGATGGCGGATAGAAAGAACGATAAGAGTGTGCACGATGGCAACCCGCATGATTTGAGAGAGCATTTTGAGTTTGCTCATGCTATTGCTGTAGCTATGGGGAATAATTACCCCACTGCTAAGTGGCGTTCTTGGAAAGATGTGCCCAGGACTTTGAAGAGGGCTGTGATGGATGAACTATTAGTAAGTATATTATTGATGGATCAACTATTAGTAAGTATATTATTGATGGATCAATAATGAAGTTTGTGAAATTTTTAGTTATATGTTGGAATTAATTATTTTCATATATGTGTAACAGTGTAAGTAAGTTTTTGATGATGAACCGAAAGAACAATTGATGAAGTTAGTGGAGGATGCATTGGAGGGAGGTTACAATCGGTGGCGTTATGAAGTCTTGTGGGATGGAGTAGGATCATCGAAATAGTAGTTTAAAATTTATGTTTTGTATGACAATATTTAAAATTCAGGCTTTTTTTTATTTTTTATTTTATATAATTTATGTATTTGGACTTAATTAGGTTTCAATTCTTGTTGGGTTTTTTTATTGAGACCTAATGTAAGCACCCTAGCTATCCTCGGTTTATATGTGCTTTTAATCTTTAATGAATATCATACTTATGTTGAAAATAATTGTATGGATTAAGTCATTAATTATTTGTAGAATACATATTTAAGGTATTAACTATTTATAGAATAATATTTTAGGTATTAATTATTTATAGAATAAATATTTAAAGTATTAATTAATTTTAGAATAGATATTTAAGGTATTAAATCATTTGTGAATATTTGTTTGTAATTATAAAGTTTACGTAAACAGATATCTATGTTTACATAAATTTGTAATTACATTTTTAAGTATCGTTGTGCAATATTGCGCGACGACACCTTCGTCTCTCAATATATTACGTGACGATACTTTGTTGCATAAAATATCTTATGCGCAAAGCACAGTTAGACTGCGTTCAAACCAACCAATTTATTGCGTATTTATGACGCATTTTGCGCGACGGCCTTAGAGGTTTGTGTGATGAATATTTCGTCTCGCAAAGGTGTCCTACTACTATATAATCATAGTTTCAGAAGCGTAGTTTTCAAATTTTTTTTGTTTAAAAAGAATGGCCGATTATGGAGAAGGTTCTGGCAAAAAAAAGTTGTTGTGCAATTAACGAGGTATAGACGGATTCAAGTGTCGTACTTTGAAGGCAAAAATATGGCTGAGGTGTACGCCGAATTTAAGTATGACATTGGGAATTTGGTGCGGAAGGATTGTTCTGCCGAGTTTGAGTCTTGGAAAAAGGTTACTGAGGAGTTGGAGAAGTCCATGCTAAGAGAGTTATCGGTAAGTTTGTGGTAAATAATTAACAATTATTTTTGTTAAAACGTAATATTTTGTTAAATTACTAATTTATTGTTATTGGCATTTGACACACCCCGACTGAGATCAAGGCATGCTGGCCGTCACGTGAGAGTGACGTAGCCATGTGCACAGTACGGAAGCGAAAAAGATAGCAACTATACGAATAATTAAAGACCAGATTACTAGAGTGCACTACTAAACGAAAGTGATAGGAGTTAGTTACAAAAGTGAACACTCATAATCAGAGCATAAAGTCTAGGTGCAGTCCAGTAGGACAAGTACTAGTTACACAGTACCAGAAATGTCCTACTATTATTCAAATAGGTCAGAACGGCCGACGATCCCGAGCCACCGACAACAAGCTTACTTAAAACCTGGAGGGGCGCAAAACAGAAAACGTGAATGGGTAAAAACAAATGTTTTACAAAATCATTTCATTTATCAATATACTAACCTCTCGCTGCAAAACATGTATAATTTTCCCAGAATCAAGATATAAGTATACACAATATATATATATATATATATATATATATGAAATCATATCAATTCAATTCATGCTTCACATAATCATATTCATATATATGCCATGCCAAAATATAACAAAGTAAACAATCCAGGTAAGAATGATTTCGTAGTAATATGATATGTTAGCCGGAACCCTTGAGGTAGTCTGTACGGCTGAATTCATAGCTCAAAGTTACTCTAGCCGGAGTCACTACAATGACCTATACGGCAACATATTGCACATAAGTCGGAACCACTAAAAAGGGGTCTGTACAACAAGATTGGGTGTAATATAGTTATGCTCAATTTTACTCTCTCATAATAGTTGGGCGATGAATCGCTAGTCACCTACGAGTCGGAACCATGAATAAGGTCTGTACGACAAGACTGTGCACTTAAGTTGG